GAAGCAAAGCCTTTCCCCTTTATGGAAACGATTTTCTCTAAAAATAAACAGTTTTGCTGCTGGGCTACAAGAGAACTTCCTGCTCCCACAGGACACGTCCGGCTGGGGGGGCAGCAAGGATAGAGGCCGGGCCACCCCGGGAAGTCATGGGGGTGTGGGGAGGAAGTAAGAGGGGCACTTGGAAGCTGCAAAAGGGAGGAACAATCAGGGCCTCTCACTAACCAGCCCCAGCCCTGGAATCTGGCTAGTTTTGTTCCCAACTCTCCACCTGAGCTTATCCAGTTCTTTCCTCCAGCCACCCTGCTGCAGCGGCCCCGGCCTATCCCACTACCAGAGAGGACAGTTTCTGGCCTGTGGGTGCCAGGGCAGTGGGTACCTGGGAGGATGGGCCAGGTGGGGCACCTGCGGGCATGAAGGCGGGGCTGGGGCTCCAAGGGCTGCCAAGCTGTCTTGTTGCACACCCTGAGTGTCTCTTGCTTAGTGTCTTGCTTTATCTCTCTTGTCCTGGTCTCTCTGCGTCTCTCCACGTCTCTCTGTGTCTCTCCACGTCTCTCTGTGTCTCTCCACGTCTCCTCTGCGTCTCTCCACGTCTCCTCTGCGTCTCTCCACGTCTCTCTCTGCGTCTCTCTCCACTTCACTCTCCCTGTCTCTCCACGTCTCTGTCCTCTGTTCTGTCTTGTAAAGCCTGGAACACACAGTCACTGATTGTAGGAAATTTGGTTTTCCACTTGCCTGAAGGCTCATCCCCTGCACAACAGGATCAAAAATATTTCCTGGGGACCCAAAAGAGACTGGAGGCAAGAAGCAGGATTGGAATAGCCTGTGGGGGGGGAGGCCCTGAAGGTGGATAAGGGTAGGGCGAATAATAGTAATAACTACAACGATGATCTGAGCAAATCACTTGGTCATCAGACAAACCCACCAGCTGGGTAGTTACCAAGGTGTTTCACAGATTGGGAATCTGGAGGCACAGAAATATGCAGTGACTTGCTCAGGGTCACTGAAGGGGGAAGTGGCTGGTCCTGGATTTGAACCTAAGCCTGTCAGATTCCCAAGCCACCCTCACTCCCACTCAACATCTCTCAACTCATTTCTCAGGCAAAGACTGAGGTCTGGGAGTCTCCAGACATTTGACCACCCCTGGAGAGGGCAGGTGACTCCAGGTCGAGAAAGAAGATTGGGGGTGGGATGAGGCTGTCTGGGGCTTGAGGCCCCTCTCCCTCTATGGAACCCTTGGGGGTCAGGGAGGAGGACAAGAGATAAGAGACAGAGAAAGGAAGATAGGACACTTAAAGAGGCGACAAGGCTGGGAGCTCAGGGAAGCGGCGCAGGGTCCGGGAAGCGAATGTCCGATGGGGTCTCCCTAAAGCTCCTCTCGCAGACCGGCCTGGATGTCTCTGGGGTCTTCCCGCCCTCTCCCCGCCCCAAAGATGGGGTTGAGAAGGACCCCGCCCGTGCAGAGAGGGGCGGGGCCTGCGGGGTCCCCGGCTAATGGCAAACAGCTGCCGCTCCCCACGCTGGCCCAGCCGCCAGGCCGAGGCCCAGCCCGGCCGGACGCTCGGCCGCCTTCCCGCCGCCTGGGGCCTGGCTCCGGCCGGGCGGTGGAGGAGGGCGAAGCGGGGAAGAGCAGGGGGAAAGAGGTAGAGAGGGAGCAGAGATGGGGAAGAGGGGAGGGAGTAAAGAGCGAGAGGTAGACGTAAGAGGAGGACGGGGTTGGGGGAGAGAAGCGGGGACGGGGTCAAAGATGAGGTCGGGGCATAAACGCGGGGACCGAGACACTCAAAAGTCCATAAAGTTTGGGTTGAGATGATGAAGTTGGAGGCAGCGGCTGATAGAGACCCGCGAGGTCGCGCCCCGGTGTTTGGGATGGGGTGGTGATTACGCTCGGACCCCGATCCGGACTCGAACCCCGACCCGACCCCGGGTCCTACTCGCCTCGCGCACTCCGGCAGCCGCCGTCCCTGCGTCCCGCCGCCCGTGCGTCCTCCGCGC